CTTCCATCTCATCTATTCTACTCCTCTGCCCTTTCAAAGAGTTTTCTTTTTCTGCCATTTTGTTGTTGATTGTTTGGACCTCTTTCTGTTAGTTTTGGAATGTTACCAATGCTGTATCTATCTTGTTTGATTGTTCCTGTAGCGTTTTTCTGACTTCTTCCTTATTTTTCTCAACTCCGTTGTAAAGTGTTTTAAAACATTTTATAATCATTTATCTGAATTTTTTCTCAGGTATTTCCAAGGCCTGCCCTCCTTCCAGCATCGAGAGAAGGTCTACTTCTTGTTCATTTGTCTCAGATATTTTATCCTTTTTCTGGACATGTGCCGATATGGTCATCTGCTTTTGCTTCTTGGACATGTTTAATATTTATCTGTGGCTCTAATAATTAATTAAGTATGTATTTGGGTAATTTTTTATGTTTTCTGATTGCCTCCAGGAAGATGTGATCAGGATGTAGTCTTCCCTTTTCACTCTTCTATGTGACAGCCAAACAACACCAGTCGGGTAGGAAACAAAGCCAAAATCAAAATCAAAAACAAAAGCGGAGTTTTCTGATAGCAGAAGGGAGGCTATGTGACCACCAAGCAATACCAGTCATGTAGAAAACAAAATCAAAAGCAAAGTCAAAAAAGCAATAATGAGCTAAAAACAAAGCAAGACAAAAAACAAAAAACAAAAAAAAAAAAAAAAGGAGAAAGAATTCAGCATCAGAAAAAACAACGAGATTAACTAAGGCAATATCTAGTCACATACATAAAAAGAAAGAGAATAAAAAATAATAATAATAACCTGTTTCGTGTTTCTAAGGAGCAGCTGGCAGGCACGAACCACCGACCTTGCAGTTCAAAAGGCTCTGCATTGTGGTCCCTTAACCCGCAGAGCAGAAAGAAAGAAAGAAGGAAGGAGGGAGGGAGAAAGGAAGGAAGAAAAACCCTGTATAGGGTTTCTAAGGAGCAGCTAGTGGGCTCGAACCACCGACCTTGCAGTTCAAAATGCTCTGCAGTCTGATTCCTTAACCCTCAGAGCCACAGCAGGATTGCCTTGTTGCTGGTGGTAAAAACCACCTCAAAGCGTCTCCGCTTGTGCTGGCTTGTGCCTTGATGAGCGGACCTGAGCCTCGGAAGTTGTGCAGAGGGCTAGCCTAGGCAGAGGGGGTGGAGGGCGGGATTAGTGGATGCCGGCTGATGGCGTCCCTGTGTGACGACATCAAAAAATGCCTCTGTCTGTCTCCCTGCAGCGTGGGCACCCGGCTCGCCCTATATCCATGCAAACAACCCCTCCTGTGGCAATGAGGCCCCCCACCACTCACGAAGGACTGTGCCAGCCCCTCTGAACTGGTCTGCTCAAGCCCTTTGCTCCAAGCTCCGTAATGGGTGGGGCGCTGTCCCAGAGCGCTGCTGAGTGCTGGTCCAAAATGGCCACAACTCCCCAGCAGCTCGACCCTTTAAAAAAGCAAGTCCACAATGTTGGGGGCTAAAGTCTTATGTTTGCCCAAGGACTGTCTGTCTACCTGGTGGAGGCGCCCCTGTGCAACACTGTCCACCCTCTCCCAGAGCCCGCACACCTGTGCTGCCTGGTCAGGGAAGTGCTGGAATCTTTTACTTTTTTCTACTTGCTGAAGTGATTAAGGACTGTATGCCCTTTCTTTAACTTTTTACTATGTTCTGAAGTGAGTAAAAAGAATGCGCACCTTAGAATTTGAATTAACCAACCAAGTAAGAAAACATACTATGCAGTTGAAACCCTAGCCAATGGGGTGAGACACAGCCTTAAGACTTGCGTCAGAGATAAAGCCCACTCTCTGGCCTGTTCTTGTACAGCTACATACATGCACCCTTCTACAGAAGTAAATTTTGCCTTGCCGAGGTAATTTAATCTGACTGAGTGTCCTTTTGTGTGACACAGGGATTCATTACAACAGGTGATCGTATAGTGTCAATGCAATGTGAAGTCCAGGAAGAAGAGAATGTTATTTCCTTACAACTTTCATAGGTGTCCTTATACAGTTATTTGTTGTTGTTGTTACTCTTGCATTATTTTATTTTATTAATTTGAGTTAGGATTGCATTGATTTCCAGCTTGAACATAACTTATTTGCTCATATTTGAGTATCATCTCAGAGGATTTTATACCATTCGCTTTGCATATAAAAGTTTAAGAGCTAAGTTCCAGAGGGTGCAGAGAAAGATAACTTTCCACTGAGTGGTTTCCAACCTGTCAGGATGGGGCTGGTGAAAGGAGATGGGGATAAGACTCTTGTGGTTCAATAGTGAATAATTGCTATCAGGACTGACTGAGTGTTGGGAATGTAAAAGTAGACATTTTGTAACAAAAGGAAGGAAGTGGTGATTTTGCAGTCCAGGAGTGGAGGTCCCTGGGATCATCAAGGGAGAAGAGCGGAGTGTAGGACCCTACCCAGAGAAGCAGTGATGCCAGAGATGGAGACAGAGACAATGACATGGAGAGATGGAGTGACTGGGAACTCTTGCCTTGGGGAGGGACAGGATTGTGTGCTGACAGCCGGGGGCTAGGCTTGTGGGGTGTTCTCTTTCGCTGTTTGATGATGCATTACAATGAAATGAAGTACGATAGGATGAATGTAAAGCTACTATTCCCCCATGTAAACTATCACATAATTCACAATAAAAACTTAAAAAGTTTATGAGCTAGATTTGCCTCATTGTAATAGAGGTGGGGAGGGAAGAAACAACAAAACGTCCATAAGAGATTGGGCTTATAAACCAAAGTATATAAGTACAATGGGATACAGTGGTGTCATAAAAAAGAAAGGGCAGAGTTATATACAGAATAATGATATCAAAAAAGAGAACTAAGATATATTTTTACATGAAAAAGTAGTTTCAGAGCACTGTGATTAGCACTGACCTCATTTGTTAAATTAAGAAGCATATATATATCTATATGAATATATTAGGGGGCTTCAAAAATTCATGGAAAAATTGCATTATCTCTGATTTCTATTTTCTGACAAACTTTTGAAGCTCCTTCGTATTTGTAAGTAGAAAAAAATTCTGAAAGACTATATATTTTGCTGCTATTAAGTACTGTTGAGTCAGTTCCTACACATAGCAACCATGTATAGGATTTCTGAGGAGTGACTTGTGGGTTTGAACTGACCTTGTGCTCCAGTACACCATCCTGCAACACCACACCAGGACTCCAACCCCAAATAATGGTTACATCTGAGGATATCTTGTGATTTTTAAGTCTTTTATATGTGCCAGTGTAATCTTGGTATGGTACTGTGGATAACCACTGAACTGTAAGGTCAGATTAAACTGCAAAGTATACAGGGTCACTATGAGTCAGAACTGACTCTACAGCAATTAATAACATGTATCAGTATCACTTTTATAATTTAAAAACTTCTACTGTAGTCCTCTTTCTCCAAGATTTTGCTTTCTGTAATTTCAGTTACCTGTAATCAACTAAACCCAAAAATAATAGGAGTCCTGGGTGGCCACTAGGATAAGCACTGGACTGGTAACCAAAAGTAATGGTTCAAGCCCAACAGCCACTCCTTGGAAACCCTATACAATGTCACTATGAGTCCACGGCACTTAACGACAACCAACACTAAGTCACAATGCCTACATTCAGAACTTTTGTTTTGTTTTATTATTATAATTGTTTTTATTGTTCATTTTTTTCTGTGCCTAATTTGTAAATTAAGTTTTATCATATGTATGAATATATATGAAAAAAAAAAAAAAAACCCAGTATATATATATGTAGGGCTCAGTACTATCCACAGTTTCAGGTATCCACTAGGGACCCCTTGGATAAGGGGGAACTACTTGTGTGGTGCTGTAAGATAAATACTGGATCTCAAGGTTGTTTTAAACCACAAGGTCTGCAATTCAAACTCACCAGCCACTCCTTGGCAACACTATACAGGGTTTCTATGAGTCAGAAATGACTCAATGACACTTAAAACAACAACTGTATTTAAAACTATCTGTTGAGTTGTACACTTAAGATCTACATTGTTTGTAAATTATACCTTTAATTTTTTTTTTTTTTTTTAAGAAAAAGAAGCTACATACCAAAGTTCAACTGTATTAGAACTGACATTATTAGACTAAAAGATTTCTCTTTGGCACTCCACTTTAGATTATGATTTTGTTTGAGAAGGAGCCCTGATGGTTCATTGGGTTTGGTTTGGCTAATCATTTAAGAAATTAATTAGTTAACATCCTAATTCATCTTATATAATTATGATCATTTTAAACAGCACATTAGGTATTCTTGACATTTTTACCAACATCAAGGATTCTTTCTTGTTCCCCCCCCAAAATATTATTGCACAGGAAACTGTTACACTGGAGTAATTTTAGAAAGAAAGGGAAAAAAAAAAAAAGTTGGCAGTGATCTTTTATTGCAGAGACATATTAAAAAGTGACAAAACAAAAAGCCTGCTATATTGGCATTCACCATTTGGTACATTCACAATGTGACAATATCTAAAATTTCCTTAAGAAACAGCAGATCTCAGACTGTTGCATTGCTAAATCATATAAACTTATGCATTTATTTTTATGGCATCAAAAATATGAGATTTTTAATGTCTTGTACTTTTACCCCTTTCAAAGGATTCTTCTGGGGAAGATAAGGAAATGGAGCTTGCTGCTATCAAAATACAAACAGTCTTCCGGGGACACTTAGCCAGAGAGGAGGTGAAGAAGATGAAATCACCTGAAGATGAAACAGAAGTAAAAGAGGGAACAGTGTGATAAAATTGGTTTTTCCTCAGGAAACATGAAAAAAAGAATCCAAATCCATCAACCTTGTGTGATACTGTCATTTTTCTTTCCTTAGTAAGGGAGATTTGATGTAGTAAAAAAACATTTGTTGCTGTTGTGAAAATCTGTCAAACATTTGTTTAATAAACACGCCACTTAAAACATTCCACTTGAAGATTTCTGAGAATATAAGTATTTTTTATATTTTCCTTAACCTATGTATGGTGAGTCTTGAACTTATACAAGGGGCTTCAAAAAGTTCATGAAAAAATTCCATTATCTGTTAATTCAAATTTTTTCATGAATTTTTTGAAACTCCCTTGTAGAACAGGAGTATCTGAGTTTTCAGAGATTGCAGAAGTTATGTAGTTATAACCATTATTTAGCGAATGAATTTTTTCTATTACATCCCCAAAATTTGGTCCAGTAACTTTTATTTCACTCCTAAGCAATGAGGGTTTCATTGTTCAAAAAAACATTTTAAAAGAAATCAATTGCAGTGGCCACACAAAACTCAGACACCATAATCAGTTATGTGATTTATAAGAGAAGTTAACAAGTTACAATGCAGGATCACAAATGCTCAAGGCACAGTTCTACCCATCAAAACAGCCTTGCCTTAGTTGTGCCCACAGTCAGGCTTCTCTCTGCCTGGACAATGTACAAAACTCTCTTAGAGCTGCTGATAAACAACACAGCCTGAAGGCACTCAGCTCTATCTCCATGTACAGCAAACTTAACTCCCCAATTAAGTGACTGGCAGCACCCCACTCAGCAAGCAGGCCTCCTGCCCAAAGTCACTCAGCTTTACTTGCTTTGTGGGCTAAAAGCCCACCACTCTGCCTAAAGTTCTGGTTCTTGGTTCTGCTGCTGCTACTACTCTGCCACTCCTCTGATATCATAGTTTTCTGTTCCTGGGATGAGAAGGTTCAATGCCAGGATTCTCAGATGCACTTCACTCCTTGCTCTTTGATGGTAGTGAGATCCCTGGCATCTGCTTCTGAGATGGCTCATTGTATACCCATGTTAGAGTTTCAAGGTTTTACAATTACAGTGCACTCTGTTAACATACACAGCTGAATCATTTCACCCCATTTTCTCCCACCTTCTCTTACCCAGAGTTAATCAGGAAAAGTTATTTGGTGTGAGTTACACATACTAAGGCTAAAAGAGACATATTAAATAATTAATTACACCACAATGGTAATAACTTTCATAAACTCAGAAACCATATCTCTTTTTGTTGTTGTAGTCACCATTCAAACCCTGGTGCCTATTTTCAGAAAGTTCATGAAGCCTCTTCACTCTTTATTGCCCAGTAAACTGGGGGGTGGGGGGTGGGGTTCACATCTTAGAGTGAAGTCCCCTTTCCAATATAAAAATAGATGGAAAGCAGAGTCTGATTATTTCATTAATGTAGTCATTTTATACCATAATAATGCAACATAGTAGTTACGAATAGGGCTGCTAATCTCAAGGTCAGCAGTTCGAAACTACCAGCTGTTCTGTGGGAAAAACATGAGGCAAAGCCTCAGAAACCCTGTACAGGGTTGCTATGAGTTGGAACCGACTCCACGGCACACCACCACCACCACCACTAGTCTAGCAGACTAAGGTGATGCCCTGTCTTGCTTGAATTCCTGCCTATAGCACAGTGGGTATCCAGACTTTGATTCTCATATTACAATTCTTCTAGCCCACAGTCATACACTCAGCCATTGTTTCCCAAATCTCAATTTCATCTTGGTGATTCAGACTTGAGGTGCTTCTCAAATCAGCCATATAGTATGCTGTTATGCATACCCTTTCTGCAAAGCAGTGTTATTTCAGATGTATTTTATCCTTCTGTCTGAGCCTTTATCAGACTTTAAAACAGAACTTGTACCCATGAGGTCTTCTCTACTCAATAACAAATGTCTTATGCTTTTTTTTTCCTTTTAATATTTTATTGTGAATTATGTGATAGTTTACATGGGAGAACATTAGTTTTATATTCACCCTATTGTGTATCATTTCATTGCTATGGTTACAATCCTCTCCATGCATCATCAACCAACCTAAGGGTATACACTACAAGCCTGCCCCCCGGTCATCAGCACACAGACCTCTCCCTCTCTGTGTCTGGAGACCCCAGCCGCTCCATCTCTCCACGTCATCATCTCTGCCTCCATCTCAGGCATCACTGCTACTATGGGTAGGGTGCCCCTCTTCGCTCTTCTCCCTTAATGGTCCCAGGGACCTCTGCTCCTAGGCTGAAAAGTTAATTACTCCCCTCCTTGCTACAAAACGTCTACCTTTACAATTCCAACCCTCACAAGCAGTCCTGATAACAATTATTCACTATTGTATCACAAAAGACCCATCGGCATTTCATTTCATCAGCCCCGCCTAAACAGATTGTATACTACTCAGTGGAGATTCTACCTTCCTCCATGCCCTCTGAATCTAGGTTCCCTCTTGTAAGCTAGCAAGCCAGTCACTTCTTGCCTTTGCAGCCCCTCC